TACATCACTTGGTGACCAAAAGGTACACCTGATTAGCTGGTTACATCACTTGGTGACCAAAGGTACACCTGATTAGCTGGTTACATCACTTGGTGACCAAAAGGTACACCTGGTTAGCTCATAAATGCAAATGATGCATGTCACACATTCACAATTTCATTGACTCAACATTTCTCATTTCACATCTCATCATATCTCATGTCACATTATTTCACAGTCATATCACAGATCATATGTTCACCTTTCACATTCTCACATCATATTCATATAGTCTCATACAAGAAACTTCTCGTAATCATATACATCCAAATAGTACATAAATCATACCAAGAACTTATCCAAAACATGAAGCCATCATCAACTTTACATATAATGCCTCAAATCATCCATAGATCATATTCCTTATTTTACGTCATAGGGTTTCCCAAAAGAATCCACAGAGCACTCTAATTCATATTAAAACTTATCTGTTTTCAAAATTAATCACATATTCATACATCTCATTCAACAAAGAGTACAATAAAGCAATCAGAAAGCAAAACAGAAAACATTCATATTTTTCCTGTTTCCCATAGGGTTTCCCGTAGGAACCCATAGAGCACTTTAGTTCATATAAAAACATATTCATTCTCAAAATCAATCACATATCTACACACCACATCCAACAAGAAACCCAACAGAACAATTAGATGGCAAAACAAAAAACGTTCATATTTTGACTGTTCCTAGAAGCATGCATCAGGCAAGGGATTGGAGACAATCCTACTACCCAACAATTATTCTCACACCCCCGAGCGAGGTTTCTCACTCCCCCTTACCTGGATAAGCAGAAGATGAAGCTAGAGCAGAATCTGGTTGATCTCCTTCTCTTGGTTCTCCTTGGTCTCCCGAGAGTGTGTCCAGAAATAGTGTCAGAGTGCTCTATTTATAGATTTCAAGAGTGGCCAGAACGACCTATTTTGAATCCAGAACAGGCTATTTTGGATCCTTTCAGCATGTGTAAACTTGGCATTTGGAACGGTCCGTTCTAAAACCAGAATAACCCATTCTGAGTTTGCATTTTAACACACAACGACCATATTTGGAACGACTCATTCCCAACTTTGGAACGACCCGTTCCCAACTAGGGTTATAGGCCATTTTGGTGGTTTGGAACGACCCATTCCAGTTTGGAAACGGCTCGTTCTGGGCTACCAAAAATATGTCGTTTTAGTAGTTTGGAACGACCCGTTCTGGGCTACTAAATGACCCTCAATAAATCTTATGAAAATTACTAAATTACCCTCCATAAAAAGTATGAAAACTGGGGTGTTACAAAAATAAATCCTATGACTAAGATACTCTACAATACAAGGGTAAAATGGGAAATACAAGGAAAATAAATCCTATGTCTTAGATACCTAACAATACAAGGCTAAAAATGGAAAATTAAAGACAAGGTTAAAATAGGAATAAAAATAAATTATATGCTAACAAGGTTTAGGAGAATGATTAATATCCTTTAGCCATGAGAAGCATGTCTCTAGGGTGTTAGCTCCCTATCCTCTTCCAATCTCCTAGCCATGAACCTAGTGATGGGTCCCACATGAAGCTCCAAGGATGGTCCTCCATCATAAAAGCGCCAGTTTCTGAAGAACAATTTTATTTAAACTTCTCAGAAGCAAATTGAAGTAACTAAGTTTTTGAAACACTTAAAAACACCATCTTCTAAGTAACAAAATTTCATTTAAAATTGATTTTTAAGAAAGACAACAATTCAACCCCTCTTATTGTTACCTAACATTCACTTCAATTGGTATTAAAGCTTGGCTCTTAGAGTTGAGCTCACTTAACAATGTATGAGAAAAGATCCTGAAGAAATGATGGTTATTCAACATCTAGTAATGTTTATTCTAGAAGGTGCTTCAACAAATAAACCTGTAGGTTTTGATGGAAAGGATTACTACTATTGGAGTGATAGGATGAAGTTGTTCCTAGATTCACAAGATGTTGACCTACTAGAAATAATAGAAAAATTGTTGCACAGAAAGATACACACTAAAAGTGGGGTTAAATAGTGTATATCAAAAACTCGCTCTTTTTGTAGTGAGGGAGTGAAGAGTACAAACAAACAAAGTACTAGAGAGTAATCAGACGAAGTAATGAAGCAGACAAAATGGAATAAGTATTTTTATATTGGTTCATCTCCAACCTAGAGACTACGCCTAGTTCTTAATCCAACCAGATTGAGTTCCACTATCTTAACCAGGATACAAATATTCTTTACAAGCCACTTCTGGCTAAATGACAAGCATTCTTTACAAGCCTCTCTAAGCTTAAACCTAAGTATTCTTTTAAACAAGTCTCTTCAAGCTTAACCACTAGGTATTCTTTTAAACATGTCTCTCCAGGCTTAACCCTTACAAATACAATTGATAATAGTTATAAAATAGCTTTGTCTCTTCTAGACGTGATGCTATACAATTTTGGCACAAGTAGTCTACAAATAATTCTATACAAGATTTGCTATGAAGATCTTCTTTGTAGAATATCAGCTTTATATTTCTCACTGCATGAGTTTGCTTTGTGTGAGTTTCTCTTTATTTTAAGCACTTTTTTCCTTTTTCATCACACTTCCTCTTACTTCATAGTTTACATCCTGCTCATCTTTCTTGTTCATGCCACTCTCTTTTTCTATCAAGGTCAATCATATTTGCTTAACGATTTTGCCATTATATAGTTGCTTTTGAAAGATGACCATTATAGCAACGTTCAAATTTCCTTAAGTTGCTTCGTTTGTCTATTCTTCATAGAGTATTGTAGATGCATTTAATGCAAGCATTAAATGTTGATTAGAGATGCGTGTGTCCCTTGTTTGATCTTAGGTAGCTATCTTGAGTGTGGCAGCATTAATGGAGAGCAATTAGTGCAAAGCAATCTTTTTCAGTGTCTTGTTCGAGATATTTAGAATTTTCTCTTTATATCCTGACACAATGATTTGATGTCTCCTTTTTTAAAGCTTTTGTTCTATTTGAGGATCCTTCCTTATTAGACCTGTTAAGGAATAAAACATTAATGTTTTCTTAAGGATAAATTGACAATATAACAAAAAATAAATATAACATTAACACCAGATCATATGCTTTGTCTGATGTTCTTTGTCTTATAGACGAAATGTGTTACTGCTTCATCTATAATGCTTTTCTTTTGAAAAACTTAAAGCGATGTTCTTGTTGTTTATATGAGGAATTTTAGACACACTCTAAGCTTTTTAATGATATGTTTGTGATCATCAAAACTCAAATCGTCTCAACGGATTCCAGATTGTTCTCTTGATATCCTAAGCTTATTTTTGATCTTACAAAAACGGCCATATATACCAAAGAAAACTTTGGATATAGGGGTTATTGTAGCAAAGCCAAAACAAGAATAAAGTCTTGATGAAAAATCCAGATGCTTGCTTAATGCAAAGGCCTAGTCTTATCTTACTTGTGCTCTCAACAGATTTGAGTATGACAAAGTGAAAAAATGTACTATAATAAAGGAAATTTGGGAGAAACTTAAAGTAGCATATGAAGGAGCAAATTAGGTAAAAGATTCAATAGTAAATATTTTTACCCTTTAGTTTGAAATGTTTAAAATGTAGCAACAAGAATCTATAGACAACATGTATAACAAGTTCATTATTATAATGAATGAGTGGAATGACTTAGGAGAAAAGTAACCACACATCATAAGATAAATAAGATCTTGAGGAGTCTACCAAAAATCTAGAGACCAAATATTTTAGCCATCCAAGAAGCAAAAAACTTGAAGATGCTTCATATGGATGAGTTGATTGGATCCCTTAAAGTACATCATGAATAGGAGCTACAAGAAGAACTCCAACCTAAGGGAAAATCTATAACTCTTAAGACTAGTGAGAAATCCAAAGCATTAAAAATTTAGGAAGACTTACAATCATAAGATGTTGAAGAGAACTCAAAAGATTATGAGTTAGGTCTTATAACTAGAAAGGTTTAGAGACTACTCAAGAAAAGAAAAGGAATGAGAAGGATCTCATTTAGAAATGACTATCTAGCTAGAAAAACCTTCAAGAGCCAAGTAACAAACAATGAGTGCAACAAGTTAGGACATTATAAATCAGAATGCCCATAACTCAAAAAAGATGAGAAAAAATGAAAGAAGAAAGCCATGATGATGGCCACTGTGATGACTCAGAAGAATCATTTTCTGATGGAGGAAAAGAACAAAATCAAATCTATGTTTGATGGTAGATTGAAACAAAGAACAAGTATATGAGTTTGAACCTAAACAATTGAAAAATGTTAAAGAATTGTTATTTTCTTTTGATAATATTCTAAAAGATTCAAATCTGTTAGCTTAGACATGTGTCTCTTTGAAAAGGAAACTCTTAATTACTTAGAAGGAAAATGAGAAGGTCTACTTAGACAATGAAATATTGAACAAAAGGAACATATGTCTAAGAGATACTCATTTTAGCATGTCTGGATAATTAAAGAAACTCACCAAGGAAATGAAAGTTTTAGAAAATGAAAAAAGATTTCTCAAAAACATAGTTGAAATTTTAACTAAAGATCTATCAAACTATGTAAATGGAAAAAGAAATTTAGATAGATTGATTGGTGATCAAAGACATTTCCAAGATAGAGTGGGTCAATGCTTTAAAGAAGAAAATCATAAGAAGGTTATATACAATTAGCCCAAATTCAGAAAAACCAAACAAAAAGGTGTTTCAACTATAAATAGATGGGGTCATGATACTTCAAAATGTTATTGGAAAAAGACATGGTCAGAAAGAAGATTACTAACATGAAAGGACCCAACCAAGTATGGGTACCTAAATCCCTTTTAATTTTTTATGCAAGAATGTCTTTTACACAAAATCAACAAAGGGCAATGGTACTTGGATAATGGATGTTCAAGGCATATGACAAGAGATAAAAGTAAATTCTTGACCCTTGAAAAGAAGGCAAATGAAGGACGTGTCACATTTGGAGATCTCTGTGCATAGCATTGAAGCACTTGAAAGATGCAGAAATTGGGTGACTTCAAACTACCACATTTCTTCAATTACCCACCTTACTTCACGTAAATTCCCTTTTTATCCTTGTCTTTAGCTTTTTTTATGCTTTGCTTTCATTGGATATTTTATCAGGTTGCTTGTGATATTGTATTATTGTTGTGTGATTCAATTGTTTTGCCTCTTTGGTTTGCAAAGTTCGTTGCTTAGGGTTACTGATAAGATTATTGAGAGTGAGGTAGTAGTTAACCTGTGGTTCACCTTTGTTTCTACCTTTTAGTTTGCAGCCTGTAAGAGACACAAGAGAGAAGCAGATACAAGTACAACTATGGAAAGAACTTATTTTAGATTATTGTAAAACACAGAAGATATTTGTAATTGGACTTGAAGAAGAATTTCCTCTATTTACAAATCATGTAATTGAAAGTAAGCTCAAAATTCCTGCTTTTGTGTCATTTTATGTGAAGTTGAGTAGTCCCGTAAATGCTCCTTTAGTGTTTTTAGGTGAATAAATGCCCCGCCAGTTTTTTTTTGGTGAATAAATGCTTCTTTAGTTTTTGGTCTTGCGTATTTCTGTTTTTTTTTGTTGTATGATTGTTTTAGATTTTTGATCCTGCAGGGTCTCTTACCCATGAAGCCAGAGCAACTTTCCTTTCAGCATTAGTTTCTGAAGGTATGCTTCATTCATGTCTATGGATTTATAATTCTTGTATTTGTCTTAGAGAAAAATGCCTGAAGTGTGTTATTTTAATTTGGCAGGACGTGCAGAATGGATGGATAAAGGACATAGGAAGTGTCTTATTCTCTGGCATCGGATTCAAGATTGGGCTGACATTTTGATACAGTTTGTAAGTTTAGATTACTAGTTTGATACTGCAATGGTTATTTAATGCCTTGTTATTGAATTTGCTTTAATATTGATTAGGCAAAAGATAATGGACTGGAAGATGGTGTTGTGACGATAGAAGAAATACGATCTGGGACTGAATCTCAAGGAACAGGTAATCTGTTAATGCTTATGTCCTATCTATTTATTAAGCTATAATTTGTGACAGGAAAAGTTTGACGATTATTTGCTTGTTCAATTCAATTGTCTTGTGTGTTGAAGCATGCGAGTATATGTTTAGGACTTGATAGTGGTACTTTTGTTAGGCCTTTTAAATATTATTGCTTTTCAATGTGTTTCCAATCAATCTAGTTGAATCGGACCCTTTTGAACGAGATTACGTATGTGGTTTCCGGTAGTTGAGGGATAGATGGAAATTTGAAAAGATATATTTCTTTAACTGTTTTTAGACTCAATTTAGGATAAGATGAAAAGCCATCATGGCAGAGAATCAGTATCCCAAAAAGGATTTTTGGTATGACCGTATGAGCTGTGTTAAAAGAATTCAGGAATTCTTCAGTTATCCTTACGTTCTTGTTGCTTTTGAAATAGTATTTAAAGAAGTTTATGCTCTATTTTTATCTTTCTTAAGGGTGATTGGAAAGTGAGTGAGCAATGGAACAAAAACAAAGAAAACTAAAATGCAAGGGTCATCATGGGGTGGTTGACAGGTTTCTAAGATTTGGAAATTTTAAGATCTAAAACCAGTTTTTAGTTAGATTCAATTTTGTTATTTTTAGTTTTCAAATTTTAATACCATATTATCGCTTATTACTTCCTCATTGAAGTCATTTCACGGTGATGGGATGATTGGTGCTGGTGATACTAGTGGTGGGAGTGGTGGCAGTAATGTTGGTTTACTTGTGAGTTGTGACAACAGTAGCGGGGGTATTGGTGGCAACAATGTCTGTGGTGGAAACAATAATGGTGTTGGTAGCAGTGGTGATGACAAGTGCGGTGATATGCTGAGTTTTTCTAGAAAGTTGGAGGAATTGAATGATTTGATTTTACAACTTAAAAATTAAAGAGACTAAATTACTCTTTTGATCATTCTTTAATTGGTTCAATTTGGTCTCTTTATTATTAAAAGGTTCAATTCTTAAAAATAATGCAATGTTGTCCTTTCCATTCAATGTAGACTAACAACGTTACTTCATTGTACATGTGGTGGCACATGTCATTTTTTTAAATGGTGCCATTTGTACAAAAAATTAAGGGACCAAATTAAAACATTTAATAATAAAGGGATCAATTACAACCAATTAAATAAATAAAGGGACCAAAAAAATAATTTAACCAATAAAAAACTACTTATTTTTTGTTTTAAAAATTGAGCAAAAATTGATACAAAATTGATTTAAAAATCAATTCAGTTTCCTTTTAACCGAACACTTCTGTTTTTGAATTTTGTATTTGGAAACCAAAAAGGGGAAACTTGTGACTACCCCAAATGAGCCCTAAATTTAAAGAATTTAATTTTGTTCATTGTCAATTTTGGGTTACCATAGTATTATGAAGTATTAAAAGCAGTGACTAATCTCTTCTAAAAATTGTAAGGATAATGTATTTTCCTTTCAACATAGTCTATTTCTATCCAAGATCAAGATTTGAATTATGAGCAACTCTAGCAGTTTAAAGAGACTAAATTTAAAGAGATTTACCATACCATCAAAGCTGTTTAAAAAGCTATGTCAATTGAATGCTTTGATTATACAACTAAAAAGAAAGCTACCTTTTTTGGTTTTAAAAATTAAGCTTAAAGTGATTCAAATTTTGTTTAATAATCAATTCAGTTCCATTTTAACTGAACATTTCCATTTTGAAATTTGTATTTGGAAACCAGGGGAGAAAACTTGTGACCACCCCAAACAAGCCCTAAATTTAAAGGATCTAATTTTTATCCATTGACAATTTAAAGAGTCTTACCTATCACCAAAGCTGTTAAAAGCATGGTAGTAAGTATCGTAGGAATCGCGATTCGTATCGTACGATACGATACGATTCCGTGCTTCAGCGATTCGAATCGCATGGTGTATCGTTTTTGATCCTGAATCGTTTTCGAATCGTTTGTATCGGGTTTAGAATCGGAAAATCGCGATTCTGGAAGGTCTCGCACGATTCTGGGAAGAAACGGGTCGCGTCCAAAACCGGGTCGGGTCATGCGCGACCCGGTTCTGAAAACCCTAAAAAAAATGATTTTTTTTAAATAAAAAAAGACGAAACTGAGACAGAAAATGCCGATACCCATTCCTGTACATGACCCACTTAGTGGGTTTCACTTTTAGTGGTCCCTTTGTCTCGTCCAGGTTCGCAGCTTCGTTTGGATGGCTGTTTGGGTTGCTGTTCTTCGTGTTAGTGGTCCACTTGTTGCTGAGTTTATGCAGCAACAACACTAATATTTTTTTTGGGTGGCTATATTGCTGATTAGAGTAGCAAACAGTCCCTTGTATATGTATATATTTAGCAACAACAATGATTTTTTTGGAGGCTTTGTTGTTGAACTGTACAGTCATTTCTTTTGGCTTTGAGACTGTTATTATTTGTATAATTCTATCTTTGTTTGTATTTTGAAGCTTATATATTACTATATATTTATGTATGACTTCATTTTGTCTGTTTCTTTATATTAAAATGTGCTTAGAGTGCTTTTATATGTCTTGTATGCATATATATACACTATGTTTTTATTGATCACGAATCTTACGATTCACGATACGATTCGATTCACGATTCAAAAAATAAGCTTTCCGATACATTATGTGTATCTCGATTCAACTACCATGGT